TTTTTTTTTTTTTTTTTTACTTTTGTTAAGGTGTTATTACTTTTATTCTAGTTTATGAGTAAAAGAAACTTAGGGTCTTGGACACATTTTGATTTGAGATTAATTAGTCATGACATGTTGTTTTTAAAATATGGCTTCTGGAGAATCCAGTTCAGATTTGGATTAATTTTCGTCTGATATTTATTTTAGTGTCTTGTTTCCATGCCGAAAATAAAATGATGATATTATAACTAACTATTCAGTGAACTGACATTTTTTAACTTAAGCTCAATGTAAGAATTGAAATAATGATGTTGGTGAGATTTTGTAACAGAGAGAAAGACTTGGATGAAGTGTTGCAGTCACACACTGTTTATTCAAACGTTTCGAAAGGCGTTCTTGCTAAGTCAAAAGATTTATCAACGGCATTTGGGACAGATGATCAAGAGAAAATATGTTTGGAGGTTAGTATAAATCCATTTCTTTGTTATATGAATCCTTTTTTCAGATTCAATTAAGACTCACTTTGATGATTTTTTGAATCAAAGGATATAGTTTATCTTTCTGAGTCAATTTATTGGCATTGGAAATTTGTGTATTAAAGGATACAATTCATCTTCTGAATTGATTAATTTCATATCTATATGAATAATGCACCTGAAGCATGCATCTGTATAAATATATTCTCCTCTAAAGAGGGAAAGCCCAGTCAAGTGTATGATAGTGATATAATTTGCAATTGCAGATTTTGGATAAAGGAGAGCTACAAGTTGCAGGGAAGGAAAGGGAGTCACAGTTATCGAGTCAGTTTAGGGATATTGCTACGATGGTAATGCAGAAGACCATCAACCCTGAAACACAACGTCCTTATACCATAAGCATGATTGAGCGGCTTATGCATGAAATTCATTTTGCAGTTGATCCACATAGCAGTTCAAAGAAACAGGTACGTTCAGGTGGTACTTAAAAGTTTTAGTTTCCAGAGTAGATTTTTTATTAATAGATTCCACTCTTTTTCCTAGCCAAATATTTAGGTGGATATACTGCCTATATAACATCCATTTTCTGAAAATGCCTTTTCCTTCTCATTTTGAAGTTAAAATATATATTTTTTTAAGTTGATTTTTCCATCTGTGAATTTCAATTTAGTTTGCTTCTTAACTTCAACAATAAAATATATGTACTTCTGAATTGGGGCCAAGTGTTTGTAACTAACATCTGTTGCATCTTGCTGCATGAGGCATGAACTGCGTGCTTAATTGACTCATTGCATCTGGGATTCTCGACTTAAAACTTGTTGAAATTACTTTTTGAACAAGCTAATAGTTGATGTTATTATGATAATCTACAGGCATTAGAAGTCATTCGCGAGCTCCAAAAGCACTTCCCCATCAAACGTTCCCCTATGAGGCTACGACTTACTGTACCCAAACAGAACACCTCATCACTCTTTGAAAAGATTAATGATTGGAGTGCTAGCATTGTTTCAAGAGATGAAATTGGAAGTCAGTTTTCTCTTGTAAGTCTGAGATCTCAACCTGCAAATACTATCCACATGTTTGATAAAGATTTTTTGATTAGTGATTCTTTGAAAAGTATGTTTTTCGGTGAATATGTGGTTAAAAAGTAAGAAAAGTTATGAGGAAACATGAAAAATGATTTTTTGGGAGAATGTTGGTTGAAAATGAATGTGGGAGTCAAGTAATTCTCAAAAGATAAAAATCAAACAAGGGCTAAATTTGTGGATATGCTTGATAAGATTGCATTTATCCTCTACATTTACAGTGTGAAATATGATTTTTTTGATTTTCATCATAAAATATTTTCATTTTGGGTTTAATTTAATTCAAGCGTTTTTTTTTTTCCTGCGGGACAATAATCTTGATTTAGGTTATTCAACAAACAATAATATTTATGAAGGATAAGATAGAATTTTATGCAAATTATCTTTTCATAATCAAAGGAAGAATAAGATAAATTTAATCATTGCCTTGGATTGAGTGGGTGTTAGGCTTATCCTGTATCTAGATCTATTTAAAACCCTGTATCACAATTTGTTTGAAGGCCTGTTGTTTTTCATAACATTTAAGCCCCTGTTTGGTTTGGATTAAAAACCAATTAAAATTTCAAATCAAAGTCAACAGTTAATTTTAACAACACATTTCATTGGACCAACAACTTTTCAACCACACATCTCATCAACTTTTATCAAAATCTACTAAAAATATGATTTTAATCTCTACCAAATAGGGGCTAAGTATTCCCAACTAAAACTTGCTTTCCACCACTCCTTTCCTCTTATCTTCCAGAGCTTCCATGGTTCCAACGAACCCCTCTGTTCCCATCTGATACCAGGACCATACCCTTGCTATTCTCCACCTGCCTGCTTCCCACTAGTCCACCCTGTTTCACCATTTGAATGCTCCTTACCCTTCCCAAGCTCTCACCCTGAATCCCCCTTCACTCAAGCATCCTCGGAATAAAAAATTATAGTGAACGTGACAACCAGTCTCAAACTGTACTGTTTAATTGACCGTGGATTCTACATCCACTCGAACTGGATCAACTCTCTTCCCCTCACCTTTTTCATGACATGGCCAAATGCAGTATGCACATAGGTTTACCTATATTTCATTTGGCCACGTGCTTTACATATTAATAAAATACACACAGGCATAGGGGTCATCAGTCATGTATGTGTTTATGAATAACATATATCTAGGTAAGCAACTTTGCCTTTTGGTGCTTGACTTCCTTTCTGTGTCATCTCCTTTAATTATATTTTCACCCATACTATACTTTGATTTAAGAATGGGATATTACTGCTGCTGATTTATGGACCTATTTTTTCAAGTCCATTTTCCTATTGGAGCTTAAACTTTCTTGTTATGGCACAGATTTGTGAACTGGACCCAAGTTCTTTCCGGAATTGTGATGCTTTGGTGAGGAATCTGCAAGGGAGATTGGAAATTCTCGCAGTGAATGTCCAAGTAGATAGTGACACCCAGGTGGATCATTACGATGATCATGAAGATGAACCATCCACTGTTCACAAGGATCCTGCAGTTCCTGTTATGCAACTGAGCGAGAAACTGCAGCAGCAGGGAATTTCTGTTAAAAATGGGAATTCTCAGGGAGAGGCCAAGCTGAACAAATGCAGCACATGCAATGCTTTGATAGGCAATGCAAAAGATTACAGAGAGCACTTCAAGAGCGATTGGCATAAACATAATTTAAGGAGAAAAACAAGGCAACTCCCTCCGCTTACTGCAGAAGAATGCATGGCTGATATGGAACTGGGTGACTCAAAGGCCGATTTAGAGGAATACTCATTTTGAGATGGCACCAATTTTTCTTGTTCCCTGGTATAGTTTTGTTCTTTTCCAACACTTGTTTCCAAGGTGTGTAATGGATAGCAATATGGTTCCTGGTGATGTTTGTTTTAATTGTTTACCCTTTCTATTATATCAGCATCATGATTAATGACAGGTATGTTGTGAAAAATATCTTTTATGTTCGGAAAAGAAGGATAATAAACAGCATAAATTGGTTTCCTATCATATTCTTAGTTCATTCGGGGAAATTGCACCATTGTTTCCCAACCTAATACCTTCATAGCAAGTTGATTTTTGACAGAATTAATGTTCAATAACACGAATGGTCTAAATCTTTGTTAAATCGCTACGTAGCATTTGGATGTTCAATGTTATGAAGTTCAGATATTCTTTTCAATACAGAATGATCTAAAATTTTAAGGACGCCTTGTAGTTTAACAAGGATTTGAATGGTTAATGTTATCATAGATTTGATTGTGCAGCTAATGATGAAATGTTTCAGTCTAAATCCTTTGCCGATGAGGGCTCAAAATCCTTCCTTGCACGTTCCTAGGAACTCAGCAAATTGAATGGATACTGTACATGTCTTGAAGCAGTGAGATGCAGTTCTCTCATCATTTAGTTAAGGAACTAATTTCCTATTAGAGCAATAGGTGGAGGACCAATTGTGCAATTTCTCCAATTCAATTTTTATGGGAATTGTAGTCAGAATAAATATAATAAATGATAGTACAGGCTGTGGGGGCGTAGAAGGATGTTTAGAGCATGTTTGGCTAGGCTTAAAATCCAATTAAAATTGAAAATATAGTCGTTATTGGGTCTCATTCATCTAATAAAAGTCAACAATAACGGCTAGTTTTTCAATTTTAATCCGATTTTTAATCTCTACCGAACACGCTGTCAATATGACATTTTTTCTATGTGAAGGTGCTGCCCAAGGTGGTTGGAACTTTGGCATGTGATTAGTCCGTTGGTGGGGCTGGTTTATTCCAGCAATGCACGGGTTGCAGGGGCGGTAGTGAGGCAGTGGTGGCAGCGTTCTCCGAGGTGTTGACATGGTGATATTTGGTAGAGAATAATGATATTTGTATATAATGAGATTATATAATGATTTATATACAGATGAGATGTTAAAAAGAGGGGAAATTTTTTTTTTTTTTCTGGTAGTGAGGCAGTGGTGGCAGCATTCTCCGAGGTGTTGACATGGTATCTCATCACATCGTGTATGTGTAAACCATTATGTAAATTATTACATACATGTAGCACAAGCGGGTGGTAGAAAGTGCAAGAAGCTCTTTGCGTTGGAGGAGTGGCTTTTCTTTGCCATATCACAAGGCCTTCAGGTGCAAATTGCTGAGAGTTATTCTTTCCGACTTGTCCAGAGTCTAAAATTGCCAAATAAACGTTCTTAATGCTTTTACCCCCCATTTATTCCATGGACACTCAAAAATAAAGGAAATAGAAGTCGCGCAAAACTTTGAGCCTTCAGTGATGATTCTTCTTTCCCATTTGTTTTTCCGTCATGGGGCTGTTTTGTCTGAAAAGTAGCCTCTTTTCTTTCATCTGTGAGACGAGTCTATAATTCACCCTAGGATCTTTATTAATGTTCAAATTTGGAGGTGCTTTCCGTCTTTCAAACTTCCCTTCGGGTTTGAGAAATGTGTGATTGGTCACGACCAGCATGATTCAGAGAGCACTTTTAGCGTTCGTTTATGAATAGAAGCTTCCCTATCAAGCAAGAAGGAATTAATTTCTATATGGTCTACACGAACAAGCTAAAGAATAGCAGCACTACATATAAATAAAGTGATCAGATCAAAATTATCACAGACAAACATACAAACTCTCAAGTCCTTGTTGAATCGATTCTTGGCAACTCCGGTAAGTTCCAATGTAAGCTGGTGGAGGCAAACTTTCACATAAAACAGTTTACAAATGCTCAAGGAAAGCTGTAATCCGGTTCCAGCAGTCAAGTCACAGTAATGGTTTGTTCAAGGTGGACTGTACAGTATCCAATGCTAGAAGCTAAAATCTTATCTATTTATCCTATCCAAACTACACAACAAACATGCCTCAAGGGTAAGCAGCTGTCACAAACCAGGCAAATTCAAGTTAGAAAAATACAATGTAACTTAAGATGTAACGTTTCAAATCATGAAAAACTATGTTATATATTTTCTTTTCCTATGAATTAGTACAACTGCAAAGAGAAGGGAGGAGTTATCCTTTTTCTTCCATAATGCACTTTATATTCCAGAGGACTAAAGTGAACTCTTGAATTTTCCAACAATCAAGGACAAGCGCAAAGTGAACATTGACCTAATCAGGGAGATGTCTTCCAGTCGAACTGAAGGTTGTTTAAAGCATTAACAGCCCCGAGACCACCAAGTAGTTGGTTTCCCAGATCCTGCTGCTGAATAGCACTTTGGTCTCGTGCCATTGTCATGCCTCCTGCTCTTCCATTCATAGAGTTACTACCCAATGCAGCTCGAATTCCATTGGCCAAGGCAGAATGGCCAAATCCATTGCCTGTATTCCTAAACACTCCACCACCTATACCCGGATTACCATTGGCCACTCCACTCCTTATACCAGCATTGTCGCTTGTAGACAACATTCCATTAATATTTTTCACATCACTAGCCACGGTCCTAATGCCCGTCATGCCACCCCGACTAAACTGGTTTGATATCATCATGTCGTGTATAATTTTCTGAACAGAGCTTTGTGAATCATTTGCATCTGCATCCCCAGAAAGAGTTGGCTGCTGCATTGGGTTATTTGGGGAATTTGTCAAATTCATTTGAGCTCCATGTGAAGGTTGCGGTGGATTGTTTGATGAGGATGGCGTTGGTGATTGGAAGGGAGGACTGGGCAGTGGCTGTGGCTGTGGCTGTGTATTTGAAGAACCTGGGGAAGGCATTTGAACAGGATTTCCTCCGAAGGGACTGTTTGCATTAGATGTCAGGTTTTGCTGTCTAGAATTCTGGTGATGAAGCCCAACAATGGCAGTAGCGGAGGAAGTTCCAGGAGCTGGGTTCAGACTGTCGTTAACACCTGGTATGTTATTGGTAGAAGTAAGTTGCACTGAAGCAGCCTGGACAGTGCTATCATTATTTAAGTTCTGTCCCACCGCTTGCTGCTGCTGCGATTGTTGCAAGTGACCTTGAAAACTCCCAGGTGATGTATTTGTTCGCCGAGGAATCTTGGCCAAGCTCTCTGAAGAAAAAACCATTAATCATTATGTTTTATAACATTAGCACATCTAGAAACAATTTTCACATGTAAAATTGGAGACCAAACTCTTGAAGCTCGAATAACTGAAAGATAAAAAATAATCTTACAAAATTTATTTTGTACCGTGAATTATGTAGAGTTGAGAGAAAATCCATGTGGGTTTTATGATTTAGCAACTCAGCTGTGTGTAAGGAAGACGAACAGGAAGCTCCCCATCCATGCACAATTTTTTGGTTTCTAGGTAAAAAGTTAAAAGTTCCTGCTTTCATTTCTAGCGATTATACTAAACCCACTTTATACTTCAGAGTTGCCTTAAGCAGGCAAGTATAAATCATTCTGCTAGAGGGAATGCTGACATAAAATTTTGAGATGCTCATCTCAGATAATTAACTTTTGAACCCCAGTCTAGCAGGATAAAATATCATAAATTTAGAGGTTATCTTCTGTCATAAAAAGACAATTTCAGCCAAACCTAGCATTCAGCAGAGTTGGCCGACGTCATGATGCTCAAGTCACTAACATTCAACCACAGATGAATTGCATGGAATTATCTTGCGATGATATGTCTGGATGAGATGTTCAACAGATTGACTGCTGTAGTGTTGTTAAACAAAGTGGTAACTCAATTTTACTATTTTTTCAAGATCGACACATGGGACAAAGACGGCAGAGTAAAATAAAAGGAGGCAAAAGAAGAGAAAAACTTCCGGCTCCAAAACAAGGCAAAATCTTCATTGTTACATACTCATAATGCATGTTAAACATTATCTGAAGTCCAGAGTAAACTTGGATCAAATAAAATTAGATGCCCGGCAAGTATCCACTTTATCTGCATCTTTGATGCCTCGGAGATTATTAATGAAATTCTTAAATCAACTCAATTATGCCTTATCCATGCTAAGGTCGGGCATATGGATCATGGTCTTCCATTCGGCTCCATCAAGGGTCATTTCCTCCACACAGTCCAGAAAGAATCTTGTGTTTTCTAATCGCCTCATTCCATTTCATCCTCATTCTCCTGTTCAAGATCCATGTTCCAATTATACATCAAGTGGTCTGTCCAGACCATCTTAATCTCCTTTCTATTCATTTATCTTCTACTGTTTATACTTGTACCATTTAACTGTTCTAATCATTCCTTATTCTCCATCTCATTGCCACAGATCCATCTCAACATTTTCATCCTGCTGCATACCATCAAAGATGGCATAATATATAGCCCATAATAGTGTACTATTTTTCTTTCAGTTCATAGAGATTTGCAATTGATGCAGGACTTCAAGACTCCCTTGAAACACAGCTAATCTCTTCCAGTTTTAATCGTGTCTTTTTATCATGAATCAATAGAATGGACCCAAAGAAGAAATAGAAAAAATATTAAGCTTACCCATAGGACCAGTGCCAGTTTCACGGCTATAATCAATCAAATCTTTCATGCTATTCACCACTTCTGATATCTGCAATGTTGAGAAAAGAAACATCAGACAAAAAATCATCCACAAAAACTGACAATTAAATGCTGGAAGCAATATTGCATAATCTCATATGAATCACGATACACCAGTAATCACAGAATTTAGAAGGTTGCACCCTCCTCTTTTTTACACTATAGACAGAATCAATTACACGTTCAGCAATTTGACATGAAATAACAATTCATAGGTTTTCCATTTCAGATGAGCTCCAGGATATGCATCTTATTTTCTAATTATTTAAGGAATTGGAAAATTACTGTGAATGTAGAAAAAAATGTAGCCATTATCCCTTTTCACATACAAGAATGTGCAACAGACGATGCATAGGCGTATGCAGACAGACATTTGTTACACACAAATATAAACATATAACACCAATTGCAACCATACACTGTAATCAATGACACCAAAAATAAGTACTGTTGATGGAAAAAAGATCACATAATTTTCCACTTTAGCAGTTACCTGATCAGCTCCTGAATTTGTAATGAAACGATTACAAAGCCGTACTAAGTCAACTGCAAAGAAAACCTCGAAGTTCCCCAAGATATTCTATAAGATATCCAAAGACCATAAACTCATCGGTAATCCTGCGACCTACCAGGCTACCTTAGTGGTGGATCATAAAATCTCAACACTCAATATTTCCATAAAATCACAAGCACCGACGATTGTTTCTGAAATTAAAAATTGTTCCCCCTTTAAAGAGAACCAAATCCTGGCCCATGCTTATAGTGGTATTAAAAATGGAGTAGCATTCAAAAAAGGAGGGAAATATTGACAGTAAGCACCAAGCATGAGCAAGATTTTCTTCTGTTGATTAATTTTTTAAAGGGCGGTGGAATTCCAATTTTGATGTTCTCAACAACTACACAGATCTGTGACTAGAGAAAACTCAGAAACTTGTGTATTCTGGTCTCACTGTCCACGCAGATCAACCTATCCAAAAGACAAACTGTTCTTGGTTTAGACTATCTGAAGCGCAAAAGATCACTTGGAGAAGCGTGTTCCCAGATCAACCTATCCAGAAGACAAAATGTAAAACACTATTGAATGAGGGTTAGTACTTTGTTTCAGACACATTTTGATATTAAACAAAAACACAGATTTTCTCCCTCTGAAAATTCTTTCTCCTCTCTCTCTCATCTGTCTCTCTATCCTCTCTCTATTCTTCTTCTCCTCTTCCCCTTTCTTCTATATCTTCTCCCCTCTCTCCTCCTTTCCTTATCTCCTCTCTTCTAATAATTCTGGTTCTTGTTAGGTTGTACCTAGTCACCAGTACATTAGCAGAACAAGACAGGAAGAATTAAAGGCAGTGAAATATAAGGAAAATGCCAACTTAGCATTTTTCATATATTATTTTCACGTGTTTATTTCATATCTCACATCACGATATGTAATAGATGCCAACAGACCTCACTCTTGAGGTCTAGAAAGGAGAATTTGTAAATGGGAAGCATAAAGCGCATTACCTGTAGGCATCGGACATATCGCTTTGTACATCCCAAATCGTGTACCAGTGGAACTTCCAAGGCTTTGGCCAACTGTCGAGCTGACGCAACAAACCTACAAATTAAAAAGGGGTTAATAATCACAATAATATATCATAATTATGATGGCCTGATAGGCAAGCGTGCATGCATGTTACTTATCAATCAAGTTAATTTTGCTTTAATGGGGACCAACTCAAGTAAAGAAATTAGTATGCACAGATCCCTATACCCAACTATATCATTAATATTGAGCCATGTTTAAAAAGGCCAAATCGGGTATCGAGGCAAGGCATAAGCAGTGACGCACTTTGAGTGTAAGCCTCAAAGTAGACTAATAAATAATTCAAAAGAATATACAAGTACAAAAAAATGTTCATAATACATCATACACCACTTATAAAATCCACAATAAAACAAATTAACAAAATTAAAAGTTTAGCTCGCAAACAAACATAAAAATAAATCAATAAAGGAAAGAAAATAGCCTAAAAAGTTAGGCAAGTAATAAATGTCGGGAAAATGCAAAAACAAACGAGCATACAACTCAGTCATCTTGAGGAGTAAGCCTCGCAAATGGCATTTAAGGGTCATGATTCGAGGCATTTTATCACGTGAGGTGGGTTTTGAGGCGTAGGCCTCAAATTTTGAGAATAAAAATAGATATGTTATTTACCACGATAATATTTAATAAACATGATAACTTGAATAGGTAAGTGTACATGTATCAATAACATGTATGTTATTTACCAATCAAGTGGATTTTGTTTTAATGGGATCGATTCAATAAAAGAAAGTACCACAAACGGATCCCAATACCCGACTATTACTTTAATATTGAGAACATTAATAGCAAACACAAATGCTTTCTCTAGACCCACAGTTCTAATTATTTTAGAGTAGACAAAACTCCCGAATTGAATCTGACCCAAACCGAATTGAACAGTTCTTCTTAAGTTGAATACCCAAACGGGTATCAAAATTGAGCATTGACGAGTTTGGTTCAGCTCTCAATTCTAGATCAAGAACTGAATGTCTCTAATTTTTTTTTATTAAATAAGCCAAATTTTTTGAATTTTTTTCTAAATAAATTTGCCAACTAATTCATTGAACCCAAGATATCATTTTCGTGTTTTCAAATCAAGCCTAACTTTGTAATTCAAATTTCGAAGAATCAAAATTAGATGACCGAAGTTTTTCTCGATCATTCTGTAATTTTTCAAATAATCAAAGCTAGGCGGTTGTGCCTCTCTTCATCTTACCCTTGTCTACCCTATTCATTTAATTTCCTTCGATTTGATCAAAGTAAACTTCATCCCATTCCTTTCTAATAATTTCTCACGCTCAATGTATAAATATAATAATTTATAACTACTTTCAAAGATGTTTATTGTGAGCTCGCGCATTTGCGTGTTTTCCTTTCGTTCCATAGCTACCTTGCCATGTTTTTTATTTCTCTGATTCTCAGACTATTCGAAATGAACGAAATACCAGTGTCGACACGACATGGGTTTGGGTTATGTGTCGAATTCTCCAAATTTCAATCGAACACTTCGCCATTTCTGCTTATTTCTTTTTCTTCTTCTTTCTTTTTTTCTTTCCCTTTTCTTCTTTCTCGTTTCTGCTCTCCGTAAACCTAGTGCCACCGCCGAGAAGGTGTAGGAAGGTGACGGCGCTAGCCACTAGGTTTTCCCATTTTTTCTTCTTTCTCTGTTCTTTTTTTTTCCCCTTCTTTCCCTCTCTGTACCAATAGTTTAGGATTTTCTTTATATAAATTGAAAATGGATTCCATATAGTGCTACTTAGTGTTCCAAGTTCAAATTGCAATCAAGTCCGTCATTTTCTATTTTATGTAACATTTGACAATTAATTTTCTGACACTTAGATGCGTACCCATAACCGAGGCCGAGCGTCATAGCTTTATTTTTACCCTTATTTTGGCTGAATATTTTCACCTTTCTTTAAGTATATGTCTTCCATATTGAACATGTTATTAGTTGGATTGAAGTAGTGCTTTTGTAATTGTTAAAAATTTTAATTATGATATGAAACAGAATTGTCGTAATTAAATTTAGACCTGACGGTTTCACTTACTAAATATCCGAAAATTCTGGTTCGGTCGATTCGACTCTCTTTAAAATCGAACTGAACAGGACCACGTTCAGCCCTAAGTTATTTCCTAAATTCTCCTCACACGGGCATACAAAAGTTATAAACAACTTTGAGATAGAATAAAAAAAGGGAAATCAGAACTTATGCCCACACAACGTTGCTAAGAAACACAAAAATTCCAGCTAACAATAAATTGGTAATTTTGTCCCGCAATGTCCTATATAAGAATGTTAAAACCTGATAAATAAAAATTATTTACATCTCTCCAATCTTTAATCTTTCTGCAAAGAAAAAAATAAAAAACTTAAATATTAACTGTTCAGTTGGAACTCTTTTTTTTTTAATAAGTAATCGGAGAATATATTAATAAATCAAGAGATAATACATGGGAAATGTATTATCAATTTAAACAATACAGGAACGACATGAAATTAGGCAACATTTCTATAATGTTATTAGCCACAGTATTAAACCAACTATACAAAGTCAGAAAAAATAATTCTCTGAACTGCTCTATTGTTCTTGATTGGTCTTCAAAACAACGGCTATTCCTTTCTCTCCACACGCACCATACAATGCATCCCGGAATAAGATCTCATACAATCCTGCTATCTTTATCACGAAATTTCCTCCTTCATGGCCGTACCACATCTTCAATTCGCCTAGGCATCACCCAATCCAAATTTCGGGAAACAAGAATGCTGTTCCAAAGCCACCGAACACCATCGCAATGAATGAACAGATGGTCAATCGTCTCCCCATCCTTATTACACATGTAACACCACTCGGTAACACAAAAACCCTTCTTCGAAGATTATCCACCGTTAACGCTTGCCCCCGCACAACCGTCCACAATAAAAAGGCCACCCGTGGAGGCAATTTACATTGCCACACCATCTTCCATGGGAATAAGCTCGGCGCAGGTTCAACTAAGGATCTAAAATACGAGCGAACTGAGAATATACCATTCCGTGCCAACCTCCACCTGCTACGATCATCTACTCCATCATGAACGTGCGCCTCATGCAAAGAGGTCAGAAACAATGCAAAATCATCTAATTCCCAATCCTGTAAACCGCTCTCAAAAATAGGATTCCAACTGTGACTTCCATTATGAATGGTGAGTACATCATTTACCATAGCAGACGGCTCCAACGCAATGCGATGCAAAGAAGGAAAACGCACCTTAAGCGGTTGATCTCCACACCAACAATCGTCCCAAAACCTGATATTATTACCATATCCCACCTCATAGTCCACATTATCTCGAAAGTCGCTCCAACCTCGTCGAATATACCTCCACAAACTCACCCCATAAGAACCACGACCGTCAACTGAGCACCAACCCCCCTCTATAACACCATACTTCGCTCCAATGATTTCTCTCCAAAAACTCAGCCTCTCCACCCCAAATCGCCACAACCACTTGCCCAGCAATGCCTTATTAAACAGGACCAGGCTCCTCAACCCAAGCCCCCCCACCCTTACAGGAGAACAAACTACACTCCACTTGACCAAATGGAATTTCCTCTCTTCTCCCATCCCTGCCCAAAGAAACTCCCTTTGGATCTTCTCTAATCTACGTGCCACTGTAACAGGAATAGGAAACAACGACAAAAAATAAGTAGGGAGGTTGGAGATAATGGATTTGATGAGAGTAAGGTGGCCACCCTTCGAAAGTTACATACGCTTCCCCCCTGCTAACCTCTTCTCCATCCTTTCAGTGATTCCATTCCAAATATGTTTACTTTTAAACTTAGCCCCTAAAGGGAGCCCAAGGTATGATATAGGCATATGCGCAACCCTACATCCCAAAATACCGGCCAACTCACCCACGTTAGAGAAATTTAAATTCAAATCTGACCAGTTCCAAGTCCATCATACCAAATAAACACCAAATAGGAAACAGTTTTTTCTAACAATAACTCTAGTGTATTTGTCAAAGAATTACAAAAGATAGCTCAACCTAATGGATCAGATGGATAGACCTCCAAAATAAACTTTTATTATTGCTGACATACATCATATACACAAATTCTCTCTAGTTTAGGTAAAAGTAATCTAATCATTCAGAGTTCCGTGAACTAAATGAATGGTGTTGTTAAGATATCTCCCTATAGTGCCAAATAACACCATATAATAACTAGGATCTTTGCCCAAACCTGTTTATTGCAATTGATATCCATGTAATAGTGGTCATTCATGAGTCACTGGTTGAATTAATCCAAACAATTACAAACATTCAATTCTCTATTGAGAAGCAAAAGAAGACATTGTTGAAGCACTTTTATTGGACTTGAAGTTTAATCATAAAATTAAGCTTAAACCTAACTACAATTTTTTAGATAATGACCTTGTCTCGAACACATTAGTTAGCAGCTATATCTATTATCCATTCATGTGTGCACCAATTTCGAAATTTTTTACGTGGTTCACAGAAAGTGTAACATAATGTCATGAAGATGTAAAAAGTTTGTACACACAAATACAAGCAAATACATGATCTGCATAATTAAATGGAAGAAGAACATCAAATGTGATCCTGCAGCAGCGTTAGTCATCGGTAATCCACTAAGGACAAGACAGGCCAGCCAGGAAGGCAACGCATACCGGTCTTTCTTTTCTTATGAAATTTATAGCGTCAGGGACTCCTGCTACTATAAAAGTAATGCTACGAACCTCATAGGTACCAAACGTCTTCCCTTACTAATGTTCAATCCAGGCTGAATAAAATGAGAGTACCGGTAATTCAGTATCTGCCCTTTATCAAGGTCTACAGGTCCAATTTTTCCAGGCATTGGCAAGAGAGGAAAGGTAAGGTGGATTCAGTATCCATTTCAATAATTTGTTAGTTTCTTGATTATACATCTATACACTTACAATGTTAGTAGACAAAAATATTTACTAATAGGTAATATAGATAGCAAGTACATATGAATATTTTATAGAACTACATTTTAACTAGTTAACCAAATATACAGCAATCAGTACGTTCACACTGTCATTGCTCTATCACCTGGAATAGGTCTTTTTGATAGTGGAATAGGGCAAGGCCAGCATATTGATAAATGTATCCATTTACAGTACACATACATATATGCAGCTCTGTTATAAGTCTCGTGTCAATATCTAGTTGAACTCACATATTGCAGTTATTTTGTAATTCAGGAACAGATACATTTGTTGATCCATTCTGGGTTGCAGCCTGGTATTTTTGGGCAGCCGCACCAAGTTGGCTAACCTGCATCACATATTAAAAATGTGAGAGATGATTTCAGAACCAGGTAGAACACATGAATGGTGCACAGTGTTCCCGCTGCAAGCAGCCAAATTAATTAACAATATAGAATACCTGAAACCAAAAGGCAGCAGTGGGAACATACAAATCAAATCTGAAGGTGCAGATAGCAAGAAACAATTACAATAACATATTCTTAGTCTCATATAATCACTTAGTTGAAAAAAGACAGTCTTCCAAACTATGACTTGTGTATCTACCACCAGACCAAGCTTCAAATAAGAACATTTCAGTAGTTCGGCGCGACGGCAACAACCATTTACACAATTTACAAAATAGAGAGCTAACTTGCAAGTTGGGAAAAATAAGCTCATCTTCTCACACAAAAGAATTTTAAAGCATAAAATGTGCACCTTCCACCTTGATTACACATGCTTGAAAAGACATGCATAATAGTTGCACACAGACATAACAGCAGTCAGGTTCAAATTCAAACCTGTGGTATGAGCGATCTTCTAGGAATAAGCTCTTCATGACGCCGAGCACAGAACTCCCAGGAGCATATCTGCCAAAGAAAAGAAAGAAGCAGAGATGTAAACAAAATATTGGGGCCATGGGTCTAAAGCAACTGTAGAAGTTGTTATAGTGTAACCTTAAGGTCTGGAGAGAACACAATTCGAAGTTGACCATCGCGAACAACACGAAGTTGCTCAAAGACAATCTCCTGGGTGGCTTTTGAATAATCTAAGACAATTTGTCCAGATGAATTCTGATATTCCCTGGGCATATCAACATAAAGTAGCTCTTCCAAAGTACCACTTTCATATTTTATCTTGAAAAGTCTAGGTAGAACCTCAGCAGTAGCCTCTGAAAGAACATATTAGCAATATCAAGCGCTGAATTAGTTCAATTCACTTGTTTACCTCTTGTCATTCATCCTTTCTCTTTTCTTTTTGCTTGTCAGCTTTTATCTTTATTTTTCTTCTTTTATATGGGTGGGAGAGGTAGGTGTTGCTAGTGGGTAGGATAGTTTAAACATACCTAAACAGAAATCTTAGAAAAGAACACAGCAAGAGAAGTTCAATCCCTAATGTAAAGCAATACAAGTAAATAAAACACCATAAATACAACCTATCACACGACGGCAAAAAAATTGATAATAACATCTCAAAATCCAGCAGGAAACATACCAAATCCACGGCCAGGCTTGCGATTGCATATTTCACAATGCCAAACATCCTGCATACATGTCAACAATGATTAAACAGCACATCTCATAAACAAAGATTGATGGATTAATAACAAACTGGAGAACTACAAATGATCTACAACATATGCCCTAGAAATAATTTATTGTTAAAAATACCAATAATTGCATAACTAGAACAGTACAGTCGTGGCAGAATATGAAACATTATCCTGCCTACAGTCCAACAGACCTGAGGGAAAACTCCAGCAGCTTGACGGCCACTTCCATACATGGAAACACACCATCTTTTCTTGGCATTGGGTGCAAAATACTCGGCAACAAATTTTCTCCAGAACTCAATATTATTGTCCTACAAAATGACAATTAATGTTCTTATAAATCCATCCAACAAAAGACTGTATCATAACTTTCCTTTTTCCTGACAAGTGAATAACTCAATTGAAATAATATCTTACTTCAGGTCTGTGTTGTTGCTGATACATATAATGTGTCAATCGTCGGGCACACATCCCAGGCTCGTAAACCGGTTTTACAGGAGATCTAATTGGCAAATTAGGTTGAAACTGTGTTTGTAATGGGGGCCTTTGTGGAGGCATAGCCTTCAAAAGTTGCTGTTGTTGCTGCTGGTGGAGTTGCATCAGCCTCTGTTGATGCAAAATCTGTGCAGCTGCAGCTGCTTGAGAGGACTGTCTGGACATTAGGAGCTGCTGTTGCTGTTGCTGCTGATGTAAAAACAATGACTGATCTGAATGTTGGGGTTCCATCTTGGCAGGTGGCAAGCTTCTGATACCTTGCATCTGCTGTGGCTCCAATTTTACAGTACCATGATTCCTCAGAACCTGCAACTGCTGATGTGTTTGATCATTCATCACTTGTGGTTCCAGCTTAACAGGTCCAATGCCTCCTAGTCCAGCTCGCAATGTTTGAAATTGCTGCTGATGTTGTTGAGGGTTGCTGGGAGCAGAAAACTGCTGTAACTGATGCTGATTCTGTTGAAAATTTTGTGAATCAAATTGTTGGGTCCTTTGATGATCTATTACCATCTGATTGCCAGAAGGGTTTGCAAATTGCTGTTGCCCTTGAACTTGACTGGTTGAATTTTGGTTGGTTGTTATAGAAGAATGTGCATACGATGAGGAAGGAGGATTAAATCTCACCCCATTTCCAGCATTGGAAAGTGGATCTGGCTCAGCCCCACTATCAATAAGTCCTCGTTGGGAGGTCCCCGGTCCAGAGAGCCCAGAACATAGACCCCCATTACCAAATGATCGATGGAGCAATGACGAAACATTAGGCACATTACCAAGCATGTTATTGTTATTAAACTGGGTGTGTGGCAATCCTAGAGACGCAAATGAATTCTGGGAAGGCATCCCACCCCCTTGAACACCCAACAAGCCCGAATTAGAACGCAGTAGTGAAGGCTGAACAGGCTGGGGTCCTCCCCCAAGAGGAGTTGGAGGCCCTTGTGGCACCATTTTTTGCCCAAAAAACGCAGTACAGGACTTAGATACTTGTTAACAATAGTCTAACACCCTACCTCTGAAGATTGTAAACAGGAGCCACAAAAAACATAAAAAAGTCAATAAGTTAACAAGCCAAAACAAATGGAGAAGCCCCGCACCTAAACTAGCGTTCCTTTCTCATCACACTGAACAAAATTTAAATAAAAGAAACAAACTTTAGCTCTGAACATCCTAATCTGCCTTCTTTCAGCTAACTTACATCCCGTGGCGGCCTCCGGATCAGTATCTGCAAAAGTAGTACGTTTCAAGTCAAAAATATCTTTAAAAATAGAAGGAATAATAATCCCCAAAAATAAAAATGCAAAGGAGCAAATTAAACAACAAAGTACGTCAACTTACACCCAAATAAGGCATGAACATGTAATTAGGGAAAACATAAAATCCCTAATTATTTACATTTTATAACCTAAAAATCAGATTTTTAGCCTTAAAAGAAAAAAATAATAAAGCTTCAAAACAACAAAAATACTGAATACGAACTTAAAAAACGATTAAATGCAATTCTGAAAACCATAAAAAATCGTATAGAGTTAAAAATGAAGAAAGGAAACTCGATCGAGTCCTAAATCTTGTATACAAGACAAAACCAATCGATCTAAAGCTTAAAGAAAACAACATTAATCCAGAGCTCCACTCCCATTACACCTATACACACACACGTACTAAAATATCAAAACAGACAATAAAAAAAGGGGGGGAAAATCGAAGAGTATAGACATACCAGAGTAGGATTTGAAGAGTAGACTCTCTCAAGTTCCGGGAAATTGAATTGCAATAGATAACAATTTTAAGCTGTCATTACTCTTTTCTTCTTCTTATTCAGTATTAATTAATTAATAAATCAAACCCAAATCAAAATTTGAGATACAGTAGGTTTACGTATAAGTATACGTATACTTGTCAAAGTCTTCTCAAAATCTTGGTTCTAGAGAGAGAATTGAGTTTCCTGAGTTCTTAGGTCACTGTTGAGAGAGGGATGGTTTTGGGGGTAGGGGTTTATATGGTGGACGTGAAAAAGTATTGAATCGGAATGAATTTTTATTTTACAAATTTAATTTAAAAGGGCCTCAACTTAAAGATACATTCTAAAAGAATCCTCAAATTATATANATGTCGAAATTGTTAGTTGTTAGTGTGTGATTGAGCCTTTATGATTTGTTTCAATTTATTGCTATTCTTTAGAAATAAGTTTTTTTGTTGCCTAGTCATTTACCATGTTAATCGATATGTAAAACATGGGCTGCATTTCTATCCTACTTTATTGTTGTAAGGCTATATATAGCCAGCTCAACTGTTGATTAATACCCCGTTCGGGAGGGCTTAAAATCCAATTAAAATTGAAAATATGGCCGTTATTGGGTCCCACCCGTCTAATAAAAGTCAACAATAACGGCTATATTTTCAATTTTAATCTGATTTTAATCCCTTCCAAACAAGCTCTAAATAGTAAGTCGATATTGCCTTAATACAACAGAGTTATGATTGGATACTTGACTATAATTATTTTGTTTTCTCACTCTCCATCTAATCTCCATCCACAACATTTCCCATATTGTCCTTCTCCACTAAACTACATCACCTATCATTCAAACTATGTCATTTTCTTCTTATCCCTCTCCTTCTACAACGCGCATGACCATTTCCTCCATTGCACTCCCCTCCCCGTCCACCTATTGCATTATGCTGCTCTCCATATGCTCTCAATTGCACTATACCCCTTCATCATGTTCTTTTGTGTTTCCTTTGTCGCGTCATTTTTGGTTTCTTTGATTTTTTGGTCATCGCAGTCTTTAGATGCCTATTGTGTGGATCTTGTGAAATTTTAAAAGTTGATTTGACCAATTTAAGGTTGTCTTTACCAAATTCGTGTCTAAAAAAAATGGAAAGAATATTATGCTATTAGGCTCTGTTTGAAAACAAAAAATTTTCATGGAAAATGGAATTTGAATTTCATTTTTCAACTTTTACCTTGTTTGATACCATTCGCGTCATTGTTGGTTTCTTTGATTTTTTGGTCAGCGCAGGCTTTAGATGCCTATTGTGTGGATCTTGTGAAATTTTAAATGTTGATTTGACCATTTTAAGGTTGTCTTTACCAAATTCGTGTCTAAAAAAAATGGAAAGAATATTATGCTATTAGGCTCTGTTTGAAAACAAAAAATTTTCATGGAAAATGGAATTTGAATTTCATTTTTCAACTTTTACCTTGTTTGATACCATAAATTTGCCTTGGAAAAAGCTTCACACGTCCACTATTTCTTGGATTTGGAGGAACTGGGTTTGGTGGGAACTCTGATTCTAGATTTTCAATTTTTTTTTTTATGCAATAGAAGCAAATTTCATAACCAATTATAAAAAAAATTCAATTTAATAGACAATTTTCATGTAAAACAAAATCAAACGAACACTAAACTTTGATGAAAAATGATTTTTTAGGAAATATTTTTATTTTTTATTTTTTCGCAATAGAAATAAAATTTGAAACCAATTGAGGAAAAAATTATCATTTTAATGGATAATTTTCATATGAAACAAAGTCAAACAAACACAAAAATATCCAAAATTTTAAAATTTTCCGAGTAGAAAATTATATCAATCAAACACACTTAATTAACAATTCCTGCAAAACAAGTTCTAGACAATTACTTCCTCTGGAATTCATTTTCTTTCCACCTATTTTCCACCGTTACAATTAAACAGGCCCTTAGATTAATATATGCTCGAATATGTTAAAATTAAGCCTAAGTTTGATTTAATTAAAAAAGTTGATAAAAATTTAAGTAAAAATCAATAATTAAATTTTATAGAAGCCACAATTTTTTTCAACTTTTCAACAATGTATCTCATCAACTTTTATCAAAATATATTAATTTTTAACAAAATCCAAGAGAGGTAAACTTTTATAATACATATAAATTATTAAGATTCCGTAGCAGTTTAAATAAATAAATATATTTGGTTCCAAAAGTTCTGTGAATTTTCTTATTATTATTCTTTTAAATTTGAACTTCAAATAGGAATATGTTCCACATTTCCATTTGGTGCCTATCTACTGAAATTACAGCTAGTTAGGTTATTACATCAAATTGTCAATACACCGATGTGTATACTTTTTGAAATGGGAACAATTCGTTAAATTCCTCAAATATGTGCAAGTTCATTATGAATATTCTTTTTATTGGGCTTGCTTAGCCCCATTTCCGAAGACTCGTACTTGTTAGGTTTCTTGCATTCACCTTTGTTACCACGGTGAACGAACCATCACTACAACAAATGTTACTAATGCATGCCGTAAATGCTTCTTTACGACATGCGGCCGCATGCCGTATAAAGCCATGCCGTAAAAAGTGAGATACTAATCATACCCGTTGCACAATTTTACAGAGATTCGCTCAAAAGAGGCATTGGACGATGACCCAAAAGCTAAAATTCAAGCCCTCTTCTTGAATCTTAACACCATGATGCCCTTCATACTTCTCAAGTTTCAACCCCCTCAAAATGCTGATTATGTCGGCAACACTTGGTTCAGCCATATAAACTTGCTGGAAACGCCTCTCAAATGCAACATCTTTCCCCACTATTTCCTTTACTCCTCAAGAGTTGTGGCTCCCATTGATCCCTCAGTGCGCCCAGCACCCAAAACAAAATGAATTTCATTAATAAATAAGATAACTTATCCTTTAGCTTCTTCAACTTCCTTTAGAACAGCCTTCAATCTTTCTTCGAATTCTCCCCTGTATTTTGCCAAATGGTTTTCACTTCATCATTCAATGACTTCCAAGTAGGTTTAAACAAGGTCAATTTCTCTAAATCATAAAGCTGTAAATCAGAAAGCCCTAAATTCCTAAATCCCTAAATCAAAAAATTATAAATTAGAAAACACAATTAATTACAGCCACGGGAATGAATGATCCCTAAATCAAAATTCAAAAAACTGGAAGAAAACACTTACATAGATACACTACAGACAATAAAAGTGGAAGACAACAACTGAAATCAAATGTCAATTTGACATACCTACTAGAAAACGGGCGGCAGTAGCAGGCGCCACTATAGAGAGACGAGGTCACACGGTGCCGACGGTCACGGGACACACAGCCGGGGAGGGAGGAAAGGTCGAAGACTCAAAGCCGGAGAGAGTCTGAGAGTCAAAAGAGAGAGTGCGAGTGAGAGGATGCAGCGGAAGAATGAAATGAAAATGCAAGTTTAGGTTTTCTATTTTGATAACTTTGCGGGCAAGAACGTATGTCCTAAATTGTAGCTTTTACCATTTACGGCGTGCTCTAAATGTATGCCATAAAAGTTTACTTTTTACGGCATGTCATCAATGTATGCCGTAAATACTTTTAGTACCTGAATTATTACGGCGTGTATTTAAGGCATGCCGTAAATAGTCATGGCATGCCTTATATGCATGCCGTAAATGCATGCCGTAAAAAGCAACATTTGTTGTAGTGTATATAGTATTAGCTACATTGTTCCTATTCGACACCCCAAAACCATTTGGAGCTTGCATAATCACGTCGTCTAAAAATTTATAAGGATGAGTAGAAAAAATATTTACATTTGTTTTTATGATTTCTTGATTTAGTATGCCGGCAAAGGTCAGGCCCCTTCACATCTCAAAAGTGAGACAACAAATAACAAGCTTAAGATGAGAGGACTATTGCTTGCGTACTTAGTAGGTGGAATTTAATTTTATTAAAAATTACATGATACTTGATATTAAAATATAAAAACACGACCATTTATTTTTTTAAATTATTTATTTCGCACTCGTTTGTAATTTTCAAAAATATTGAGACCATAGTTGCACTTAATTCTTTATTTAATTATTTTTTCTTTGTATAAAAAGAATGATATATTTGTCATTTCACAATACTTTACTTAGAACATGTTTTATTATGCAAAGAAAATGTCATATAGAGGGTTTTCGCCAAAATGAAATGATA